TTATCCAGAAATATCCAGAATCTAAATTAAAATAAAATACGCCGGAAAAACCTTGCGAAAGACCTTGCGCCAGCAGGGGACCATAACCATAATTTGCGAGGAATGAACTCAAGGGAACCGACCACTGAATTTTTGAAATTTGATATCAAAAAATCACAAAAACCTACTGGATATAAGCAGATAAAAGATTAGATGGATAATTGAAAAATGCACGGAGACTTGACCAGCATCAAAAACTCATAGATTTAACATCAGCAAGAGCAAAAGAAATTGAAAAAAAAATCGGCAAACAGGTATCAAACTTATAAAGCGAAAAATTTCAATTTTTCTATTTGAGTCGTTCAAGCGATGAAACCTTATTTTAAAAAAGGACACGGATTGAAAAAACTAAGTTTTCCCAAGCAAGCTAGAAAAACTAGAAAAATTTCAAGTTACTTTATGAAGCTATTCGGATGACAACAAGTTAGGTTTTTGTATTGCAGCCTTTCAACTGATGAAACTTTGAAATAATTGAAATTAATTCATATACCAAATATTTTTTCGGAAAGTCCTTAAGCAAGCAATTACGAAATTTTTCTTGAGCAAGCAATTCAAGCTATTAAATATTTCAAGTGATTTAATAGACCAAAAAGTTCAAGTTATTTAATAGACCAAAGAGTTCAAGTTTTTCTGAGCAAGTAAGTTTTTCTAGGCAAGCAAAAATTTCAAAATTTTCTAAGCAAGCTATTCAAGTTACGAGTCTTTGAAGCGAAGCAAATCGGATGGCGAAAAGTTTAAGTTCTCCTATTGAAGCCATTCAAGCGATGAACTTTTCAATTTTTTCAGAGCGAGTCTAGCCGTGAAGTTGAATCGAGTTCATATTTCTTAAAAGTTCTGACATCAATCTTCTCAAACGTTGCGCTCGATATAAAAATTAAACGTTGCGTCCATAGCGCCTTAACACTTTCGTTTAAAATATAATATACCACATTCGCCACTTCTAATTTTCATTCAGGTGGCACAGTTGTTTTCGGGGGAAACACCGAATATACAATGATACCTTTATTTATCGCAAGGTCAAAAAACTAATTTCGTCTTCAAATATACATTTTTTTCAATTTCAAGGTTTTATGGTTGCAAACTCTTATGAAACTAACTCAACTTGTGCAAAACCACGCCGCAGGGGGTTTTATATTTCTCTGCTGGTAACTCATTGAAAACAAATCCACGTTTGCTACTTCACTGATGAGCAACTTTCCGCGCCCTCGCTGTCCTTTTCTGATAGTGACATTTCAGCAAAACCAATTTGAAAATCGAGCTTCAAAATTAAAAAAAAAACAAGGACAGCCGGTTAATGTGGAAGTAGCACAGAATGTTCCGACCAGAAAAAAAATACATTTTTTTTTTTCAAATTAGTGTTGTTTCAAGTTAATGAGGTCTGATGATAAAATCTGAACGAAAAAAAAAAATTAGGCAAATGCGACAGTCAAAGTCAAATAGGCCCACGGGAAAACAGTTTTTGTAAAACAATGCCTCGAAAAACAAAAAAACTCGTTAAAAACAATTTTAAAAATTTAAAACTTTTCTATTTGTTTTGCAGAAATTTTCTGAATTTTTTGACGTTTTTGATTCCCAAACTGGAGCTAAAAACTCAAAAACCTAACTTTACTCGAGTAAAACTAAAATTTCACGGCTTAATTTAAGCTTCAATAAGCTATTGTAAGCCTGCACCCTCACCTTATTAGCTAGAAATTAGTCCAAAAATCCAAAATCAAAAACAGGTTTTTCTCGACAGTGATACTTTTCAAAATTTTTAAATCACGACAGAAAAGGCTTTAATATGATATATCACTCGACCCATTTTACATTCTACCTGATTTTCATGGGGGAAAACAAAAAGAAAAAACTAAAACACGAATACGAAGTTTCTCCACATTTTTCAAATTGTCGGATCTAAAACAAAATTTAAAGAACGTTAAAAAACACACTCACAAAAACAGCCCGTTGCTTCTCATGTAGCACAAAATATTCCCACTGCAGCTACTTTTTTTACAAAATAATTCCATTGTTTTTGAATTTTTTGGAGACTAAGGAAAACTGAAGAACATACTACTAACGGCTGTATTAAAGTATAATAAAAGAAATTTGGTCGCTTTCATTTCGGTCACTGAATATGAAGAATGACCCAACAGTTTCTGCTAAAACTCTAATCAAAAAGTAAAAACCAGTTTTTCTCAAAGACTGAATAAGAAGAGTGACCCAACATTTTTTTGCTAAAATCTATTCAAAAAGCAAGAACTTCAAATCGGTTTTTCTCGACACCGCGAAAAAAAACTTCAATGTTTTTAGATGTAATTCCAATAACCACAATAAGGGTTCTGATTTGACGCATCAAACGACCCCATCTGAAATCTATTTGTCGTTTCAGATTTTGCGTTAAAATAACACTCCCAACGCCTCGGGCCGTTGTCATTTCCCCAGTCGTCCGTACGTTAAAGTTCCCGATCGACCGTACGTCAAGTATTACACAGAGTCGAAGCGGAGCTTCGCACTACTTGCGATACAACAAAAACAAAAAAGTCAAAAAAAAATTAGGTAATGAAAAAACTTGGTGACCAAAAATTTTCGTATGCCTCGAGTAAAATTAACTACGAGCCCAAAGCGGGGTTTCTCGATAGAATAACACCTGAGAATTGGACCGGTAGTTTTCGCGTAAAGTCAATAAGTTACCAAAAAACTATCAGATTCAAAACTTTGACTTGTTTGAAGGACATAGCTTTTTTCTTAAACAAACTATGCATAAGGGATTCACGCAACCTGTAATTTCGATTGAACCCAAAGCTCAGATTTGGGAGGGTAATTTTGGAGAAAAAATGGTCAAAAAATCAAAGTTTTTACTTTTCCGAGAAACAAAACTTTTTGAGTCGAAAAAATTTGGGCGTATTCGCATAAGCAAATGAGCTTCCCGAAACCCGTTTTTAGAATTGAACCCAAAATCTTAGGTGTGGCAGGGTAGTGTTCGAGAATATTCCAAAAGTTTTAAAAAAAGGTCAAAAAATTGATTTTTCAGAGGGCGATAACTTTTTGTGTAAAAATTATTGTTAGTGTCCGCTAAAACAGAGGAGCTTCCCGCTACCCATAATCTTCTTGAAACTACAATATCTGATTTGAGAGGTTAGTTATCTAGAAAAGATTTAAAAACGGTCAAAAATCAAAAATTTGTTTATTCCGCGGGCCAGAAATTTGTGAGCAAAAAAAAAAATTGGTCTTAGCCAATTATGCACAGCAGCTTTTTAATGCGTTCAATTCACTGAAACCAAAAACTCATATTTGAGAGGAGTCGTTTTCTAAATATGGGTAAAAAATATGGGTAAAATATTCAGCCACACCAACAAACCGATTGCTAAACATACAACCAAACCAAATTGAAAAGTGCAGAGGGGAGTGCTTAAATTGTGTTTATCTTAAAACGGCGAAACATTAGGTCATAAGGACGATGAAAATGAGGCCGAAATAATTTCGGCCGAGGATTTTTTTAGCTAACCAAAAAAAAAACAAGGAAATACGAACTCAAGTTAAGTAAAATTACAAAATGTAGGCGTAAATCAAAGACTAAAAATAACATTTAAGAAAAATGCGCGCAGAAAATAAAACAATTCTAAGATGTGACAACTAAGCCGACAACAGATAAGCAGACAAATAAGCGGCCGATAATTTTACTTGAAACAGAATATTTCCCGTTCGAAAAAAAAAACAGCTCCTGGTCAGATTCGAACCAGGCACATTTGCCGTCCCAGGCATATTAGTTACCTCCAGGCTGTTGGTCGGGAACGCTAACAAATTGAATACAATATGAAACAAGGTAGAGAGGAATCCAGACGAGTCCTGTCGACAAAGTTATTTACGGGAAAAAAAATGTCTAGTACCCGGTTGCAGTACCCTTGCTTATAGCAAGAGTAATAACATAGCCAGCAGACATTGTAAGTCACAAAACTCACAGAGCCGCCTAGTAGTGCCATGACAGGGTCGTCCGGAGCAGCAGTGGACCTCTCAGTCTCACTCATCTGTCTTTCAGTTCCAGGCGCCTCTGCGACTTCCGTGTTCTGGGGTGGCTCCTCCGTCTCAGGTAGCTCTGGCATCTTCACCCTACGTCTCATCGCCGGACTGCTTGTGGCTCTGTAGCTATGATGGTCGTACTTGGTGAGGACAAATCGGAGCGAAATGTCACTTGTGGCCATAGTACGTGGGATTTCAAAACCCACACCTTCTTCTTCGAACATGAAGGAGCGAATTCTAAACAAATAAATTTAGTTAGATCTTAAGAGTGATCAAATCTAAAATAGAGCCAAGAGACAGTTCGAAAAGAGTCAATAAACGCAAGTAAACAAAAAAAATATTGACTTGCTTTCACAAAACTGAATAAGTAAAACTTTTATTTCGCTGGAAAATCTAGAATTTAGCTGGAAAAATTATATTCCACTTTCGAAGCTTGAAATCGATCAAGTTTTTCGTTACCTTTACACTTTTGTTGTTCGATAGTGGAGTTTGCCTTCTTTTTCAGATAGCAAAGAATTGAACTTGAAAAGAAATCAAAATTCAAACCGCGAAAAAAATAAACTTAAGCCTGAACAAATTTTAAGACACGCAATAAAAAAAGAAAAAATCATCGCGACCTACTGAAGAATCTGAACTACGTTCTTCGACTCTTAAAATATTTTCTTGTCCCAATTCAGAAATATGTTAGTCTAGCCTTTCTTAAATTCCTTGACCAATTGATCGGAATGCAACCCTTCCAGAAGAAAATGTGTCTTTTTTTTACCCATATTTTTGTTCTTCAATGACTTCGTAAAAACAATATATGAAGCAAATTGATTTGCAACAATACTCACTTTGCGTTCTTCGCCAAATTAGCCCATAATGTGACAGTTACTTCGTCATTTTTCGACACAGTCTGCAGATTTCCAGAGTCCTTGTCAGCCATGTACACCGCTTTCTAAAAAAGTTCAACCTCATCATACATTATTCCTTTCACACCTTTGATCTCATTCATTTCATTAACACTTAGCTAAATTAGCGCAATCTTTCTCGAAAGACTAATTCTGACTTTAAACTAAAATAACCATCAAACAGTTGAACAAATGCCGATGGAACACCGATTCTTAATACCGATTTTTTACTTTCGATTTATACAGAACAGAAAATGACAACTCTTTGCTATTTGAATTTCAGAAACTTTATACTAGTAAAATCAGCTGTACATGCTAAAAAATTGCCAATTCGATGCAGCATAAGTAGCACCAAATTTGCGCGTGATAAATTGGAAAACATATATCCAAACTATTCATTTCAAAAAAATTGCGAGATACAATGAGTTGGAAAATTTCTGAAATTGAGCTTTTTATCATTGTACTGCGGTTTGAAACACACAACTTTTTTCGGTTCATTTGATGAATTGAAAATGCATCTGCTGTGTTAACTTTTTACTAATCAATTGTCAAAGCACACATAATATTATACTGCTGCTGCAGCCTACCGATTCAGAAGTGCCACCAAAAGTAGAACTTTTATTGGCGACTTAGGTTGGAAAAAAAAAAGTTCGTACTAATACGTAAATAGAAAGTTCGTAAATAGAAATCGTGTACGTTTTTCACACCATTTTCGAAAATAGAAATAATCTACGTTTTTCACGCCATTTGAACTAATCTAATTCGAGAGCGTAATTTGCCTTCCTTAGAGCAAATGGATAGAACTTGAAAAAAAAACCACGTCGGATCCCAAAAAAATAGAGCGTGAACAATAATTAGGACTTCCTGAAAAAGAGAAACAAAAAATCACACGACCTAAAGAAGTCTCTTTACTTCGACTATATTATTGACACTTAAATACCCATGAAAACAGCAAAAACATATGTATGACTCACTTCTAGAGTTGTGAGGGTGGCGTTGTCTATGTAGTCGGACACTAGTGCCTGCAGTTGGATGATGGTATTGTGGAACTGCTCTATCTGCTGCTTATTTCTCACCATATTAGCCCCACTCGCCTGTCGCACTTTGTAGAACAGCAGCTCGTCAATTAACTGAAGCAGACACAGAAAACAAATATCAAACTTCGATGGTTATCTAGAATATTCTAGCGCAAATCAATGGGATTTTCAAGCAATTTCTCGGTTGAAAACTAACAAGCCCGAAAAACATAAGCAGGCAAACAATAAACCAAGTTTTTTGAAACAGAATACTTCTTGTTTAGAATAAACAGGTCCTGGCCCGGTCTCAGGCTTAGTCGTTACCTCTAGACCATGTGGGTTGACGAAGCTAAGAAATTTGAATTTGTGATACGCAAAGATATTTACATGCACAAATGATAAAATATTTTTGAAAACAAGTTGATTAACTGAAAAGTCTTTATCCCGATTTAATAACGCTTGCTAATCACAAGCGTAATTAGCCATCTATTTGTGCTACTCACAGCAAGAGTGAGATGGTTCTTGTCAAGTGCCTCTTTCAGTTCAATGTTGGTGTCTTCTTCTGTGTTCAAATTGATGTAGGTGTTGATCTGGCCAAGAATAGTAGGGTCGGGTGTGCCATCACAGCGCACATATCTGTCCCACTGAATCAGAAGCGGAGTGTATTTAAATGATACAGACTCAAATCACTTACAGTACGGCATTGATGTCAAATTATATACAATGGAAATGGTCGATATTGCTTTTTCAAGAACATAAGGAAAAACATATTATTTGTTTTTATTTGCCACCAAGCTGCTAGATTTTTGGCTAAGTTAAATATACAATTCTTTCCACCAATTCCACCAGCAAATTTGAAAGTTAAGTTAGCCTGAGAGAAATTCAGATAAAAAAATTAGCTTTTTGCAGGTCACTGAAATATGCCATCTGGTCTTTTTTGACTAATTATCTTTGTGTTAATTGCTTTTTGCTGCTATCATTACATAACACACCTCCTGCGCCTCCTTTATTTTGTGCTGATATGTGATGAGTTCGTTGGCGATGTTGGCCAGCTTCTCCCTCAACTCGAAATTTTCGTATGCCTCGAGTAAAATTAACTACGAGCCCAAAGCGGGGTTTCTCGATAGAATAACACCTGAGAATTGGACCGGTAGTTTTCGCGTCAATAAGTTACCAAAAAACTATCAGATTCAAAACTTTGACTTGTTTGAAGGACATAGCTTTTTTCTTAAACAAACTATGCATAAGGGATTCACGCAACCTATAATTTCGATTGAACCCAAAGCTCAGATTTGGGAGGGTAATTTTGGATTAAAAATGGTCAAAAAATCAAAGTTTTTACTTTTCCGAGAAACAAAACTTTTTGAGTCGAAAAAATTTGGGCGTATTCGCATAAGCAAATGAGCTTCCCGAAACCCGTTTTTAGAATTGAACCCAAAATCTTAAGTGTGGCAGGGTAGTTTTCGAGAATATTCCAAAAGTTTTAAAAAAAGGTCAAAAAATTGATTTTTCAGAGGGCGATAACTTTTTGTGTAAAAATTATTGTTAGTGTCCGCTAAAACAGAGGAGCTTCCCGCTACCCATAATCTTCTTGAAACTACAATATCTGATTTGAGAGGTTAGTTATCTAGAAAAGATTTAAAAACGGTCAAAAATCAAAAATTTGTTTATTCCGCGGGCCAGAAATTTGTGAGCAAAAAAAAATTGGTCTTAGCCAATTATGCACAGCAGCTTTTTAATGCGTTCAATTCACTGAAACCAAAAACTCATATTTGAGAGGAGTCGTTTTCTAAATATGGGTAAAAAATATGGGTAAAATATTCAGCCACACCAACAAACCGATTGCTAAACATACAACCAAACCAAATTGAAAAGTGCAGAGGGGAGTGCTTAAATTGTGTTTATCTTAAAACGGCGAAACATTAGGTCATAAGGACGATGAAAATGAGGCCGAAATAATTTCGGCCGAGGATTTTTTTAGCGAACCAAAAAAAAAACCAGGAAATACGAACTCAAGTTAAGTAAAATTACAAAATGTAGGCGTAAATCAAACACTAAAAATAACATTTAAGAAAAATGCGCGCAGAAAATAAAACAATTCTAAGATGTGACAACTAAGCCGACAACAGATAAGCAGACAAATAAGCGGCCGATAATTTTACTTGAAACAGAATATTTCCCGTTCGAAAAAAAAACAGCTCCTGGTCAGATTCGAACCAGGCACATTTGCCGTCCCAGGCATATTCGTTACCTCCAGGCTGTTGGTCGGGAACGCTAACAAATTGAATACAATATGAAACAAGGTAGAGAGGAATCCAGACGAGTCCTGTCGACAAAGTTATTTACGGGAAAAAAAATGTCTAGTACCCGGTTGCAGTACCCTTGCTTATAGCAAGAGTAATAACATAGCCAGCAGACATTGTAAGTCACAAAACTCACAGAGCCGCCTAGTAGTGCCATGACAGGGTCGTCCGGAGCAGCAGTGGACCTCTCAGTCTCACTCATCTGTCTTTCAGTTCCAGGCGCCTCTGCGACTTCCGTGTTCTGGGGTGGCTCCTCCGTCTCAGGTAGCTCTGGCATCTTCACCCTACGTCTCATCGCCGGACTGCTTGTGGCTCTGTAGCTATGATGGTCGTACTTGGTGAGGACAAATCGGAGCGAAATGTCACTTGTGGCCATAGTACGTGGGATTTCAAAACCCACACCTTCTTCTTCGAACATGAAGGAGCGAATTCTAAACAAATAAATTTAGTTAGATCTTAAGAGTGATCAAATCTAAAATAGAGCCAAGAGACAGTTCGAAAAGAGTCAATAAACGCAAGTAAACAAAAAAAATATTGACTTGCTTTCACAAAACTGGATCAATAAGTAAAACTTTTATTTCGCTGGAAAATCTAGAATTTAGCTGGAAAAATTATATTCCACTTTCGAAGCTTGAAATCGATCAAGTTTTTCGTTACCTTTACACTTTTGTTGTTCGATAGTGGAGTTTGCCTTCTTTTTCAGATAGCAAAGAATTGAACTTAAAAAGAAATCAAAATTCAAACCGCGAAAAAAATAAACTTAAGCCTGAACAAATTTTAAGACTCGCTATAAAAAAAGAAAAAATCATCGCGACCTACTGAAGAATCTGAACTACGTTCTTCGCCTCTTAAAATATTTTCTTGTCCTAATTCAGAAATATGTTAGTCTAGCCTTTCTTAAATTCCTTGACCAATTGATCGGAATGCAACCCTTCCAGAAGAAAATTTGTCTTTTTTTTACCCATATTTTTGTTCTTCAATGACTTCGTAAAAAACAATATATGAAGCAAATTGATTTGCAACAATACTCACTTTGCGTTCTTCGCCAAATTAGCCCATAATGTGACAGTTACTTCGTCATTTTTCGACACAGTCTGCAGATTTCCAGAGTCCTTGTCAGCCATGTACACCGCTTTCTAAAAAAAGTTCAACCTCATCATACAGTATTCCTTTCACACCTTTGATCTCATTCATTTCATTAACACTTAGCTAAATTAGCGCAATCTTTCTCGAAAGACTAATTCTGACTTTAAACTAAAATAACCATCAAACAGTTGAACAAATGCCGATGGAACACCGATTCTTAATACCGATTTTTTACTTTCGATTTATACAGAACAGAAAATGACAACTCTTTGCTATTTGAATTTTAGAAACTTTATGCTAGTAAAAGCAGCTGTAAATGCTAAAAAATTACCAATTCGATGCAGCATAAGTAGCACCAAATTTGCGTGTGATAAAAAGACACAATTTTGCGTGTGATAAATTGGAAAACATATCCTAAATACTCATTTCAAAAAAATTGCGAGATACATTGAGTTGGAAAATTTCTGAAATTGAGCTTTTTATCATTGTACTGCTTTTTTCGGTTCATTTGATGAATTAAAAATGCATCTGCTGTGTTAACTTTTTTCTAATCAATTGTCAAAGCACACAATATTATACTGCTACCGCAGCCTACCGCTTCAGAAGTGCCACCAAAAGTAGAACTTTTATTGGCGACTTAGGTTGGAAAAAAAAGAAAGTTCGTACTAATACGTAAATAGAAAGTTCGTAAATAGAAATCATGTACGTTTTTCACACCATTTTCGAAAATAGAAATTATCTACGTTTTTCACGACATTTGAACTAATCTAATTCGAGAGCATAATTTGCCTTCCTTTGAGCAAATGGATAGAACTTGAAAAAAAAAACACGTCGGATCCCAAAAAAATAGAGCGTGAACAATAATTAGGACTTCCTGAAAAAGAGAAACAAAAAATCACACGACCTAAAGAAGTCTCTTTACTTCGACTATATTGACACTTAAATACCCATGAAAACAGCTAAACCATATGTATGACTCACTTCTAGAGTGGTGAGGGTGGCGTTGTCTATGTAGTCGGACACTAGTGCCTGCAGTTGGATGATGGTATTGTGGAACTGCTCTATCTGCTGCTTATTTCTCACCATATTAGCCCCACTCGCCTGTCGCACTTTGTAGAACAGCTCGTCAATTAACTGAAGCAGACACAGAAAACAGATATCAAACTTCGATGGTTATCTAGAATATTCTAGCGCAAATCAATGGGATTTTCAAGCGATTTCTCGGTTGAAAACTAACAAGCCCGAAAAAAATAAGCAGACAATAAACCAGCATTTTTTTGAAACAGAATATTACCCGTTTAGAAAAAAACTGGTCCTAGCCCGGTCCCAGGCTTAGTCGTTACCTCTAGACCAAGTGGGTTGAAGAAGCTAAGAAATTTGAATTTGTGATACGCAAAGATATTTACATGCACAAATGATTAAAATAATTTGAAAACAATTTCTAAAACTGAAAATTCTTTATCCCAATTTAATAATGCTTGCTAATCACAAGCGTAATTAGCCATCTATTTGTACTACTCACAGCAAGAGTGAGATGGTTCTTGTCGAGTGCCTCTTTCAGTTCAATGTTGGTGTCTTCTTCTGTGTTCAAATTGATGTACGTGTTGATCTGGCCAAGAATAGTAGGGTCGGGTGTGCCATCACAGCGCACATATCTGTCCCACTGAATCAAAAGCTGAGCGTATTTAAATGAAACAGACTCAAATCACTTACATTACAGCATTGATGTAAATTTATATACAATGGAAATGGCCGATATTGCTTTTTCAAGAACAAAAGGAATAACAAATAATTTGTTTTTATTTGCCACCAAGCTGCTAGATTTTTGGTTAAGTTAAATCTACAATTCTTTTCACCAATTCCACCAGCAAATTTGAAAGTTAAGTCAGCCTTGAGAGAAATTCAGACAAAAAAATTAGCTTTTTGCATGTCACTGAAATATGCCATCTGGTCTTTTTTGACTAATTATGTTTGTGTTAATTGCTTTTTGCTGCTATTATTACATAACACACCTCCTGCGCCTCCTTTATTTTGTGCTGATATGCGATGAGTTCGTTGGCGATGTTGGCCAGCTTCTCCCTCAACTCGGAGTACTCCTCCCGCCTCAGGATTGCCAACTCCCTCTCCCTCTTTTCCCTCTCCACTCGCTCTTGTTTCTCCCGCCGCTTCCTCTCTTTCTCCTCCTCGACCAGACGCAGTCGCTCCTCTTCTACACACATATACTGCAACTACTAACTGGAACAGGGACCGGTCTACTTGCACGCGTACCGCTTAGCATTCGGCTATTATCGCAATTCGAATTCAGGTTGTTTGCTCCCATTTACAAATAAACTGATGCCTGCCGCATCAAAGTGAGTCATTATTTTAAAGTCGCTACACCCCCAAATGCAATTACCTTTCTCGTAGCAGTTCACTTCGTTTTTGGTTTTGGCTCTCAAACTTGAGATAACCAAAATGTTCTAGGCTCCTGCTCGGTGAGTAATCATTACACATCAGGAGTCCCTTCAAGCAGTAATTCTGCAATTTTCTTATGGAAAAAAAACATCAAAACACAGACAAATATATAAACATCTTAACTTGCTTTGGTGTGACTTTAAAAATTGAAAGTTAAAAAAATTCTTAAGAAAATTTTAAATAAACACTAATCAAAAAAAATCCGAAACTTTTGCAAAAAAAGAATTTTAATTCTTTACATCACACTTTAAAACGGAAACTTTGTTTTATTTACACCTAATTTCAAAAAATTATATTGGAGAGCGATTGTCATATGGCTTTACAAGTTGCTATTAAGTACTTAAAGTAAAAAAAAATAGTGAAAACTTGAAAAAAGGAAATTTTGAAAATTCTCTATCTTCGGAAACTTATTATTTTTTTTGAAATTGATCAACGTTTGAAATTGATTGAGTTCGATATGTCTTTTCAACTTTTGCAGGTATTTATGCCTCTCGAGTAAAACGTTGCTTCGCCTGTGATCCAAATTCAGATAAGATAAAGAAACGGGTTGAATGATATATCATTTTCAAGCTCCTTCTGTTATGATTTGGACAGCAATGCAAAATTAGAAAAATTTTCAGGATAATAAACTATTAGAAGCTCTGAGTTTATAAAAACTAATAGATTATTTCCCTGTCTGCATTATATTCTCCAGGAAATCCTAGTTTCGGTCAAAGAATTGTGGCGCAGAAGCTCTTCGAAAACATTTAACGTTACCAACACAAGAAATAATTGGTATAGTGAAAGCATTCAGTCATTGCCTCCAATTGAGTACGTGAACAATTAAGTATAAATTAAGCATTTTAAAAATATTGCAAGATATATTGACTCGGAAAATTTCTGAAATTGAGTTTTTATAATTGTACTGATATTTGATGCAAATGGCTTTTTACTTTTTGTGTTAACTGTAATAACTTATTGCTAATCGAATGTCAAAGCACATGCTATCAAAAAAATTTACAAGTGACACAAAAGTGGCACCAATATTTGCGAATTCGGTTGAAAAAAGAATAGTCGTACTATTACATTACGCTCACAAGTGTAAATAGATGGAAATCAGTAATCTCGTGGGGTTTCATTGCAGATCGAACTTCTTTGTTTGGCAATGTTGTTTAAGTCCGCTTGAGTAGAAGCGAAACGAATGCTGTGTTGAGCTGAAAAATTGCCTCTATCACGTTTTTCATGACCTTTTACGCTTTTGTTGTTCGATAGTGGAGTTTGTCTTCCTTTTTTATCATAGGAAATAAGCTGATCTTAAAAAGAAATCCAAAGTCAAATAGCCAAAAAGCTAAATTTGAGCCTGAACAAATTTTTCCTGTAAAAAAAAAACAAAAAAAAATCATCGCGACCTATATAAGAGTCTGAACTAAGTTCATCGATTCTTAAACAATACCGACCAATAAAACTGATAGAACCGATGCTTTTAAATTGCCTTCTTGTTTTGATTACTGTTGCTTAAAGTTAAACGTTCACACAAGCGAGCGTAGTTTTATATTACCAATCCACATTGGTAAGATAACAGTACACTCGCTAGCCTAAACATTTAAAATAATTAGCAATAGGAATCAGAACAAACTGACAACTCATTGATTAAATATATAAATGACGCCTGTTTAAAGAGAAAAAAGAACAAAATGCTTTGCGATAACAAAATAAATGAAGAAGATTGAGAAAACAATTAAAGAAACAGATTCCAGAATAGGATTCTACTTCAATTCGGCCGGAAAGATCAAGATTCCGAAATGAGATTCTACTAATGAGATTCTACAAGATCAATTTCTTACGGATTCGTTTTTACGAAAAATAAAGTATAGTTTCCGATTACAAGATACTAGCTATTGCAAGTAAAAAAAAACGTCCGAAAACAAAGTAACTTGTGAATTTTAAATATTCAAGTTTAATTCATAACCACAGAAAGCAATTTAGAATAGATAGAAACATTTTTCAACTCAACAATGAAACTTTCCTGACTAGACTAACCAAGTTTGATTTCTAAAACACAACTTTCAGCAGGGCCGGGGTCAATTGATCACAATTTTGAAAAATTGTTTGAAAACTCCCCTCCAGAAAAACCTAGATTCGCCCCAAAATTTCAGTATATAGACCCGTTTCAATTTCCTGCTTCTCTTACTACCGTCAACTCTCAAAGTTATCCCAAATTGTTCTTGAAGAGAAAAAAATGCCCGGATGCAACTGAATGAAACGACTCACCTTCCTCTCTTGCTTTGCGCTCCTCCTCTTCTTTTTTCAGCTTTTCTTTCTCTGCTTTCGACTTAGATTTTGCACTCTAAACAGACGTGGTTTTTAAATCCATTTCCATTCTGTTTATATTTTGATCTCAGTCAGACAGAACAGTTCTACATCATCATGCTAAACTAACATTAAGTTTTTAATGAGAAAAATTATCGCTACCAATTTAATTCATTTTGGACAATTGTAATCATTTAAACTAAGCCTGATAACAAATGACACTTAAAACAATTTCCTTTGTTTACTATCTTAGCTTTTGGAAGCCCATGTAACGGTTAAAACACTATTAGAACAATCTAATTTGAATCCATTGGATGATCTATCAACATTTAAAAAACTTTACAGGAACAACCGTACAAATTTAGTTCACTGAGAATAGATTTTCTACATCGTTAATTTTCCAACACAAATTTTATCACTAAATAGATCAAAGTTATATTATAATTTAAACTTTTTTTATTTACAAAAACCCGTACTTTATCCCCTAAATCGATTAAATTGGTTGTACGGTTGATCCCTTTATGATATTCAACTACTCTAATAGTGATATTTGTTTGTCTATTACCAACCGAGGGATCTTCAATTTCCGCTGACTTAAAAAATAAAGGAGGGTCAGAGAACAAGTCACATCAAATGGTTACATTTTTGCCTATTCTACTGAGAATTTGTGCGTGACGTGTACAGTTTAGTTAACAATAAAAATAATGAGAGTGCGCATACCTTTCCTTTAGATGCCTAAACATGTTTAATATATATTTAAACTTATCTCTAGTTAATATATATTTCTATTTGATAAATAGAATTTTTTTTAATTTCATTTTTTTTTGATAAATAGAATTTTTTTTAATTTCATTTTTTTTTAAATTTCTATCTTATTATTTTTTTTTGTAGACAAGTGTGTGGACAGAAACAGATAGAGACCAGAATAACATTTTAAAACAGAAAATGGATAGATCTTCTTAACAGCATAACACACTTTGCTCCCTCTTCGTTTTTTAGAGACGGAGCTACTCCTTCGCCTACTCTTTGTTTGGTGATATATTAGAGCAAGGTTGCTTTAAACTGCATGAAACATATTCAGTGCTGATTTATATTATCCGAGCAAAATAAACAAAACTTGATGAATAAACAAAAAATGAACACTAAAATTTGCGACATAGGTTGGAAAAAAGAGTTCCTACGATCACACAAGCTTGTGTGAAAAAATTCATTACCTCCAAAAATTTTCGCAAAACACTTAAAATTTGTTTTGAAGCTAGGAATTCAAATTCTACAAAATAAAAATGACATTTTCTGGCTATCGAAGAAAAATATATTCATTTTTGAAAACTTTAGGTTACAATATTCTAAAACTTTATTCAGCTATATAAGAGGCTAACTTTGCTATAACTTGCTCATCAATTGACTCATTTTAAATTGATCGTAACTTTTGATTGACAAAAAGAAGCCAAAATGACTCATTTTTGGGGTAAAATTTTGGCCCCGAAATTAGCAAAATTGATTACGCTAAAATAATTCAGGTAAAATTCGAAGCATAAAAAAAAAACAGGTTTGAAGTTTCAAATTTTGTTCATTTTGTCCGGATAATTAAAATCAGCACTAGACAGTAGACGAATGGAAAAGTTTTAGTCCGAAAAAAAAATTTTTTTTAGAGGCATAGAGAAAACTCTTGTAAACTTGAAATCCAAACTCCATTTTTGAAACTTGAAGTCACGCTCCTTTTTTTTTCGCGCATTCTACTTTAGTTATCTGGGAGATCGAATGTTTCCATTCCATTAACTTTCCATCAAAAAAACTAACAAAACTTAGAACGCTGTATCAATTTACTGAAAAAGAATGTGAAATTCGCTTCGAAGAAAATTTATAAATCGGCAAAAAAGCCTTCAAACAAACCCTCTACCCCTCGAAACACTCAAAAATACACACGATAAATTTCTTCAGTCATCAAACGAAGCAAAGTAAGGCCCCTAAGCCGATGAATTATAGGCCAAAATCAATACAACAGAAAAAAGTTTTTAGCGAAAAATGTGACGAAGTCAAGATTTGTAAAATTACAAAAAGCAAGTAAATCAAGACACTAAAAGCAACTACAATGTAAAATACGGAAAGCGAAAAAAAAACAATTCTACGATGCCGCCATTAAGAGGACAACGCATAAGCAGACAAATAATACGCCGACAATTTTTTTGAAACAGAAAATTTTCCGTTTGAAAAAAAAAGAGGCCCTGTCATGTTCGAATCCAAGACTTTTGCAGTCCCAGGCATATTCGTTATTTCAAGACTGGGAACATAGCTATATACGGGATAAAAAAGTCTAGTACCCAGTTGCAATACACTTACTACCTCAAGTGTCAAAATTTGTGAAACATCTTTACTAATTTTTGATAAACTCTTGGTTATTTTCTTAGATAAGGAGAAGTGAATGTATCGAAACTTAACTACCTGAAATTTTGCATACTAAATGATTTTGCATATTCCGAATATTTATTCATTCTACAAATTCTAAGATTCTTTGCTCTCGATCTAAATAAAATTTGCTTACATTTGCTTCCGATGCAGTTCACAGGGATAATACCTGGTATCATCGTTGATGTAAAAAATGAAAATCCAATATCTCAAAATATGTTAAGGTAAACAACTATGAAAAAACGAAACATTTTTGCGGTATGGTATGCTAATCCCCATCAATAGCAGATAAAAAAAATAACCCGGCTTCTAGAGAAACATCAACAACTGTCCCAAACTTTTTTCCTAAACTGACTGAGGTCGTTATGAATACTATACTATACTAATTTCATTTTTATGCTATCAATTTCACTTACCCATGAGCATTAATGATTTTTAATATTTTTGAGAGTCCGTTTTTCAAAACCAACAAACATCAAGTAATATCACTCTTACTAATATATCACCGTTTTTTTGACGACGAGCTACTTTTTCGCCGTTTTGGCGTCGCGCTACTTTTCCTGCGTTTTGAGCCAGAACTACTTTTTCTTCTTTTAGATTTGGTGCTGCTTCTTCGACGAGCACCATTTCCTTTGCTACTTTTTCGTCGAGGACTTATAGCTTCCTCGGGCCCAGCAGTGAGACTTTGCCTTTTTGTACTTTTACTGCCCCTTCGCTTAAAATACCAGACTTTTATAGGGTTGATTTTCGATCAGGTCCTTTTTACAAACTTCACTTATTTCTAAAGCCGTACCGTGCAACATTTCCGCTATAGAGAGCAGGTTGCCGTACCAGTAGAACATTTACACCATAGTTGAATAATTATCAAAAAATACGAATTTCACAGTCGAAAACAGTCAACAGAAGTTTTTGCTAGCGTTTCCCGCTTTTTCACCAGACAGTTGAACAACTTTAGATTTCTAAGAAAAAAATAGATGGCTTCAAAGCTCTTCGAATTTCAAGAACAATTAATGATTGACCTTTTTAAAATAAAACAAACCAATTTGAGAAAACTGGATCAAAAGGCGCCTTTTTTCTACTTGAAGATCAAAAAACTAAAATCCACTTTCGAAATTAGAAGTCGACCACGTTCCTCGTGACCTTCACTTTTTTGTCTCTCGATAGTCGAGTTTGCCTTAGTTGAGTTTCTTAAAGGAAATAACTGAATTTTAAAAATCAAAAGCCAAACCAAGAAAATTATATGGAGCATGAACAAACTAAAACTTTTACCTGAGAAAAAGCAAATCATCACAACCTACTAAATGACTTAATTACGTTCTGGTAGGGGCTCTGTCGAAAAGAAAACGCCGGAATCCAAAAAAAAAGATATATTTTCATACAATTTCAACAGGATACGCTAGGAAATCAAAATATAGAATAAAACCCCTCGTATATCAAAATGTTTGATGAAACGAGCTTTTAACTGAAGAAGCACTTCTTTCAAACAAAAAGAGCACCTAAATAGGTCTTGAGGACCTGAAAAAATAATGGAATCATCAAAAGAAATGGCAAGAAAAATATTGAAACATCCTAACCTTCTAGGCTTATTTGTTACAAAATCAAAAAATCAATAAAGAAAAGCCTGAGAATTTCAATTCTTCTGCTTTCCAAATGCGCTCGCTACCAACAAACTTCTGGTTCCAAAATGTAACTTCTGGTTCCTTCAGTAATTTTTTAACATTAAACTAAATTCGTCTCATTTTTCTCGCCACAATCACTTCTGAAATCGGACCTTGAGCCAAAAAAAAAACGAATTCAAGCACAACTAGAAAACTTAAATTTTCCAAATGAGCTCAGTGCACACACAATATGCAAAACTTTTGAAAAATTTTGATGTATAATGAGCATTTGAAAGGTAAAACGGGCTCTGATCGAAGCCGAATTATATACATTACTGAAATATAAAAAAAATTCATTTCAACAATCTGTAACAGTCTTGAGAAAAAAAAAGATAAACAGATAGATTTTTGTTACACATCGAAAACGTGTTACCTTGCTTTTGGAGGAGCCTCTTCGTTTTTCCTTCATTAAAAAAGCAGACTAGACATCAGCGAAAAAATATATAATGACTTAATTATATATAAGAATTTAAAACCCAAGATCTTACTGCTCTTTATTTGGACTATTCAAATAAAATTTAAACGGACTCAAATAAATAAATGAAGTTGGCAAACAGGTTTTGACTTACCATTTTCAATTCCCAGGGAGTTAGAATTCAGAACAATCTGAAAAATCAGATATTCCAATAATAAATCGTATTCAAGCTTGCAAGTTTTACCGTAACACCTAAACATACTAGCGTGAGACTGGCACCAGTTAATCTCAAAAATTTACTCAAAGGCTAAGCTGAGCTCCACATTACTTGCGACACCACACAAACATAGCATCGCGAGCAAGCAGACAAAGATTGAAACGAAAGCCAATCAGTAGAAAAATCACACATGCAAAACATGTCCACCAAAAAAATCTCCCGCCATATTTAAATATTCAAGAACATTAACCGAGCGGCAGCTAAGCCGACAACTGTTTAATCAGTTTTCATGTTTGCGTATTTTTGGAGACAGGGGGCGTAAAAAATGTTTCACCTCAAAACACGCAAAATCATGTCACTATGCCAAAAAACATATGTCAAAACATATTAGACAGAATAAAGCATTCAAGATGCAAAAGGGATAACCTGTTGAAGATGTCTTCTAGCAGATAATTTGTACAGATACCCTACAAACGAGAAGGTAGGCTTTCAATATTATTGGTCTTGTAGATAAAAAAACTAACTTGTTTGAAAAAAGCATTTTGGTGCCAAAATTATTGTTACAGTAGTGAACAAAATCAAGCACAAATTCCGGTTTATACTCTCTAAAATGCCAGTTTTCAATGTCTATTTTGGACATTTACTTCGCAATTCAGAAAAACTTTATATGGGACAGGAGCAAATGATCAGAGCTACCCTCTATGATGTTATCAAAATTTAATTTTTGACTTACCAATGAGATCCGGGTCTGAAAAATCCAGAATTCTTCATCTGCACTAAGTATTTATACCAATATCACAGCATGGCAAAAAAGGACGTTTTCTGAAATTTTACTGTGCCATCGAATTCGTACGGCTCGAACCTCTGGAAAACGCCCAAAATTTCATTTCAAAGCAAAGCCACGACTTTGATGCTGAATACCAGCCCAATTGAATACAAAAAGCACATCCATATTTTAGATTCCTAGATTGTTGTATCACGAACTACATCTTATACAAAAAAAGTAATTTACAAAAGGGGCCCTTCCGTTTAGTAACGGTCAGATCACAAGTTGGATAGGGCCATACCAGAGTAACAAAAATAAAAATATTGTGACATTCGACCAGAATGGCCAAAATGCAATTTGTGCAGACTTCGAATTTTTAGAGGTAAGCCTTCCGGATCTGTGGTTATTAAGGACTAAGAACGTTATTGGAACGATTAGCCAGACGGTGAGGGCTGGAATATTCTAGTATTTTTAAATTTCAAAAATTCGAATTATGACGTCATATTTCTGAGAAACGTCAGAAACGGCCATTTTGGCTAAAACGAGAAAGAAAGACAAGAACAACTTTATCTGCGATAGCGAACAGGACGAAAATCGAGATTGAAAACGACAACGAACTACAGAATAGCAGAGGACGTTCCGAGTTGCAACTATTGTGCTGCTACAATAGTTGCAAGGCCGTTGCGAGCAACGGTGAAGGGTAAGAAACCAGCCTTCCGGATTAGGAAGAAATCAAGATTAACGAGCTTGATTCAGTGGATTCGTCAATCCGGAAGGGTAAAGGAACTGAAACTTTTATCCTGTTACATAAACTTTTAGCTTCCTGTCATGTCCTGACTTGAATTTAACTGATATTTGGATTAGTTTTGACAAGGATGAGGTGCTAGGAGTTGGGGGAAAGGGTTGATCCATCTTCGATGGAGATGATGATTTTTATCTACTGAACAAAAACAATAGTAATATAATAAGTAGTAGCCCTGTTTTTAGGAGTGACCTCGTGGTCTGGAGATACTGAGACCCAGCCATGAGCTCACTATTTGCATGTAATTAAGTTAATTTGAGCGTTCTGGTCAAAGCCGGAGAACAGTAACGTTTTTGTCGACCCGATGTTAGAAAGACAACCGAAAGTACTGGCTTGGTAGAGACGGTGAAAAGCATGCAAAGCTCTGTTTAGACGTTAGCCAGTCGTCTTAAGGCTTAGTTTTGTTTTCCGTCGATATATATCTTCCGGGCGAATGTTACATACATGTTTTTATGGCGCTCCTGGGTGTTATTCTTTTTTAACATCATGACCGGCAGAACAGTTAACAGGCACTCCGCGCCGAGCGGATGCTCACATTAACGCCCTTAATAGGCCTAAACCGCCGGGGCGGAAGGGTAGTTCGGAACGCGGAAGCCTTCCGGATTACCGTGAATAGTTTTTTTAACCTAGTTAAGACCGAAAATTCACGAACCAGGAAGGGTGGGGGGAATCGCGAACCCCTCATCCCCTGAAAGGTTTGTGACCAAAAACACTTAAAGATATAAGTAAAACCAAACAAAAAGTAGTATAGTACCCAAGAAAAACAAAAAACATAAAAAAATAACCGAAAAAAACCAAAAACAGTAAAAAAGTAAAAAATCAGTAGAAATCATCCCCCCAGACAAGATGTGATCCAACCCCCCGTTTGTTGTTGATAGATATATTGTTGTTACAGGCATTTATATCAGTCAGGATCGTTACGATCAGTTTTGTAGCCCGTTTGTGAGGCTTGTACTGAAGGGTTATTTGAGCATTTAAGCACGTTAATGATAAATTGCGCTCAATCCGGAGGGGTCAGCTGATTTGCGCTCAATTCGGAAGGGTCTTGGGAGAAGACTGATCCGGCAAGCAGTACAAGGAGCAACAAGAAGAGGCTCAACGACGACAACAATCGACTGTTGGGTATCGTTAACAAGTTTTGTAGCCCTTTTGGTACAAAAATTAAGATAGTAATCTGTGGGGGGCTCGACAGTGCTGCACTGTAGTGACCCTTCACCGAACTGCGAATATCCGAGTTAAGCACCTTAATTCGGATATTAACGAAACCCGGAGGGGTATAGTATTACTAATATTATTACTTATATAGCCTATAATAATAGTCTTATATCGTTTTTCAGTGAAAAACAACGAAAACAGACCGGTTTTTAGGGTCAAAATAGCGATATTTTGATCCCCCCACAAGTCGCGATTTTTGAGATATCGATATTTTTTCAAACGGAAAAAAGCGCTAAGTTAGTGTGTTACATTGTAACTGCACTACCACAATAGATAGAACCGGTTAAGTTTAGTTCGGAAGTGGTTGGAACTATTTTGGAACCAAGAACCGAATTTTCGTGATTTTTGAGAAAACGAAACACTATAAATTTAGAAAATTTTTTGAAATTTTTGAGTTACAACAGTAAAAAGAGTAGTTAGGACAAAGTCCACTAGTGAATCTACAAGTTTGAAAACCCGCTACCCGAAAGCCTTCCGGGTTGCAGAGAAATTGGACATAACGTGTTTGATTTGGTGGATTCATCAATCCGGAGGGGTCCAGGTAGCATAGTTTTTCGCAAATTTTTTCTACAAAAGCGTTTTAGATCGGGTCTTTTGCATTGAACTAGAAGAGTATAGGTCTTCTGAGCTCGGATCAATAATTTTCAGGTCGAAAGGACCAGATTTGCGGAAAAAGTTAGGTGGAACCTATAAATGAGAAATTTTTTGAGTTTGCAAGAAAGACGTTTTGGCTAATAACTTTTCGACAACTGGACAGATCCGGTTAATCTTAGTACCATTAGATCAGAAATTAGCTGAACTTACTAGTAGGAAAGAGAATTACTCGAAAAAGCGAGCGAGAAAATTTTTGGAGATTGTTTTTAGCAAATTACACAAATCCGGAGGGGTACACCCTTCACGTTTTACAAATTTTTCTGAAAAACCCTTAGACCCCTACCAAAAGGGAATAGCGGTTGAATAAAGTAACTGTAGGCCGTTCTAGACGAAAAGGGACGGCTAAAGGTACAACAAAAGCTTAATCGAGCCAAAGTTAGGCCGGCGATAAGACCCTTCACCGTTAGTGTGAATTGTCAAATAAGAGGCTTAACTTCAATCCGGAAGGGTCTAGGAAGGTAGTACATACCCTTCCCAGTTAATTGAAAGAGCATAATTGCATCGGAGAACGTATCCGGCGTATCCGGAGGGGTATAGGTTAAAAAAAGGAAATCTCCGAAAAGCCACTTTTACAAAACCGGAGGGCTCCCAATCCGGAGGGGTCAAAGATTTTTCAAGTTAGGAGGGGTCCGAATCCGGAGGGGTCTTATAGTTGCTAATTCGGAGGGGTCCAAATCCGGAGGGGTCTTGTATCAACCAACTCAGAGGGGTCCAAATCCGGAGGGGTCTAGATTCTATTAATCCGGAAGGGTCCTATTTGTGCCAATCCGGAGGGGTATTATTTTATTAAGGACTTAGGTAGACGAAAGAAAGACTAAAAAGTGAGAGGTATTAGGTTATTAACACACAGACTAGGTATCAGTGACTGCACTGGTAACTTGCCTTTCAATAAGAACCAGACTAAAACAAAACAGGTCCGAACTCGGATATTCGCGACACTAAGTCTAAATTAAAAAGAGCGTGATTCATTGGTGTGGATTGAAACATAATACGTTTTTGGGAAAAGTGACTGCCCTGAGGATTTTAGTAGGTCTAGCTCGGGCAGTCCGAAGGCAGATAGGTAACACAGTACTCGGTGGGTGCAATAGACGCCCACTTGAGAAAATTACTGCCTTCAAAGTTTTGTCTGTTTGGTGCGGCACCGAGCAGGGAAAGCTTTTTCTTTAAAAGACAGGTTCAACTATTGTACTGCGACCGACTAAGAGTACAAGACACATACGTTTTTTTATATATACATTCATATTGTGTCAAAATAAATTATTTGTTTTTGATTTTAAATCAACGTAAACTGTGCTTGATTGGGTAGTGAGTACACTATCTTTTAAATTGACTGATAACATCATATTGTGCTAATTTCAAAATCTTTGGACCGATAATCGGTTAGTGTGAATAAATTTTATACAAACTGTACTCTGACGACATACAGGGATTCGTGGTCGCTATTTAATAGAATCTGGTGAAATTTATTGTGTTGTGTCATTATTATTGTTAATAAAACTATAAGGTCTCTAGCAATTGAGTCAAGAGTAGGCATTGGAA